CTAAACTGTAAAGGGTCTAGTTTTATTTGTGTGCACTCACAATATCAACAAAATGTTGTGCTTTTATAAAATAAAGGAAACAAACTCTTTCTGCCGTCTCGGGTTTGAACAGGAGCGCTTCACAATGATGAACCTTAACTCAGCGAATTGCCTCACAGACATGATAAAAATATATAAAAAGCTTTAAATTACTACCAGTGTTTCCCATTCATTAACTAGACTGTGGCGTATAATCTGCAGTGGTGGAAAGAGTATTGAAAAAATATACTCAAGTAAAAGTACCATTACCTTCCAAAAAATCTAGTGCGAGTAGAGTAAAAGTACTTGTCCAAAAAAACTACTTGAGTAAGAGTAAAAGAGTAGCCTATTTAAAAGTACTCATGAGTATTGAGTAGTGAGTACTGAGCTGTGGATTCTACCACCTCATAATAAACGCTGTACACTGCAATTTATACATTTTAAAAACGTTGTACATTCTGTAATTCACATTATCTTGTTTGTCATAAAGAATGAAGAGTATCTGTCATCCAGCAGTTTTCATTTTGACTGCCAACTTTTTAAAATACATCAAAACAGCACGGAAACAGTATTCAGTTGAAGAAAAGATGAAAGTTATTCTCAGTACAATCATCCCCATTTAAATCATAAAGTTTGAAAAACTTGAACAGCATGCTGTTGTTGCACATAAAATATTAATGTTTAGAACAGTGCAAATACAAACATCATTGGAAACTTATAGTTCAGCATCACACACCATGACATGGGTTAAAATGAGAGCCCATTTCTCTCCAAAAAGGTGCCAGTTTTAGCGTTTTGCAATAAAGAAATAAAAATAACTAAACTTGATAATACTTGAATTGTTATGCTGATAATACAATTTGTAAGGAAAAATGCATTAAATAGCGAAGTATTTCTGGGGAAACTTTTTCAAAGGAAAACACACACACGCACGTCTCTTTGCTGAGCTGTGGCGGTCTCTGTGAATCAGCAGCATCCACAACTGAACGGAACAAAAAGTGTTGAACTTGAAAATTGTTTATGCGCGAGTGCACTCGCTAAGTGAAGGAGGCTTGTATAAAATGGTAAATGGGGGGGGTACCATCTCTTGTAACAAATGGTAATAAAATTTGATTTCTTTTTTTTCTTCTCTTAAATAGAACTTTAATCTAATTTATTTCTGTTTTCTTAAGTCGTAGTAATTTTGAACGCCTTTGATTTGATCTTGCTATGTTTCAATAGCTATTAAACTTCACTGTCTTTTGGATTTAGAGTTTAGGATTTTTATCCTATTTTGCTTTGAGATTCACAATTTCTTACACTATTTTAGACAAACCAAAGAAAATCCCATTAACAAGGCACAACGGCATATAACCACAATTCAAAGTAACAATTTAAGCACTTTTAACAATTTAAAATACCCTTGTTAGAACCTTTTTTTCTTAATTGTCTTTGAAAATCGTCCCAAAATGTCCTTTAAGATGTCCATTTGCAGGTACTCTAAAAGCAAGATCTATGGGCAATCTAGGCTGCCGGCTAAACATTAACTCTTATGGAGAGAATCCTGTGGTTTCGTATTTAATGCAGTTATATGCATGCACGACAGGTTTCACAAAGTCTCTCCAATGGGATTTGTCTTCATTTTTCAGAGTACCCAGCATATTTAACTGTGTTCGGTTGAACCGCTCAACCGGGTTTCCCCTGGGATGATATGGTGTAGTTCGAACTTTCCGAATACCAGCAATCGCGCATAACTCCTTGATGGTCTCAAAATCAGGCCCTTGATCACTATGAAGCCTTTCAGGTACACCATAGTGTACAATGAAATTTTCCCAAAGGCATTTTGCAACTGTCTTAGCCTTCTGATTTGATGTGGGGATCGCTACGGCGTATTTTGTGAAATAATCAGTTATCACTAAGATGTCCTTTGTATTAGTACGATCTGGTTCCAAAGATAGGAAATCCATACATAATAACGCAAGCAGCCTAGAAACCTGAATATTCACTAATGGCACTGCTCTTTCAGGTGGAGTCTTTCTGCACACACACCGATTACATGTCTTGATCTTCACCTCCACATCTGTGGCCATCCTTGGCCAATAAAACCGAGCTTGAGCAAGATCAAGGGTCCTCTCCACACCCAAATGACCCATGTTGTCATGCAGTTGCTCCATGACAATAGGCCTCAGATCTTTGGGGAGAACGAGCTGGTAAGTTGTATGCTCACCGACCACTCTCTTTCTATAAAGAATACCATCCTTCAGCTCTAACTTTTTCCACTCTCGCAGAAGGAACGGGAGTTCCGCCAGCTCTTTCCTCAGTACAGGTAAGGACGGTTTTCCTGATTCCTGTTGTAAGATTACTTCCTGTATGGCTTTGTCAGCTCTTTGTTTGTCTTTCAGCTCTTGCACTGTCAGTTGGGGAACAACTGGAAGTCCTTGAAGGCCCTCATAGGTCTCGGGAATTGCGTCTGAACTCACAGAAAGGGACTTAGTAAGCGGAAGATAATTACCATCTTCAGCTGAGCGTACCAGATGTCTGTCACTGAGAGTCAGTGGGTACCAATATGGAATCACTTAGCTCAGGCATGTTTTCCTAATGAAAAGATTAGGAAATTGTCGTCACTTGCGACCCTGTATCCAGAAGGCACGAACATGGCTCTCCTATGTACACTTTAGCAGTACACTTGGCCCCTATCAGCACCTTTGGAAGGCTGGCTAACAGACCTCTGCTATGGGAACCCTCTAAATTACCCCTTTTTCCTGTAGACCCTTTGAGACTAGTTTTGCATATGGTAGCCCTTGTACGTCTCGCTACAGGGGGTAATTCCAGTTTAAAGACTCTGAGACCTCTGAGCTCTGCTGGTGATCCCACAGGCTCTGTCGTTCACTCAGCTGCTTACATTTCTCATTTAAGATGGATTTGGATCACTCTCGCAAGCATATGCGATATGTCCATCTTTGCCACAGCAGAAACAATATCCTGGCTTAGGTCTTTCTTGTGACTTTTGGACCATGGTTGAAGTGGTTGGCTGAGTGGGCTTAGAGTGAGTGTGTTTGGCCTCACGAAGGTCTCTTTTTTTTAGAGGCTTCTGGGATTCTAACTTTGTGAACTGACTCTGAAGTTTTGCAATCTATTTCTTTAAATCGAGCACCTCATCATTCTGCAGTAACGGAGTTTTTTCAGTCTGTTTAGCTTTCTGTTTACTGAGTTGACTGAAGTTTTATGACTTGCCTCCTTAGATCTGTAATCTTACTTCCTTCTGATGTCATGTCTTGCTCAAAATCAAAGGAGCTTGCAGATGCAGCATTGGAGCTGACTTTATGACGATGCACATTCAGATGCTGGCGCATGCGGCTCTCTTTGGCAGAATGTCGATTTTCTTCACTATGCAACGGCAAAAGCAGTTCGGAAAATGAAGGTGGGCTATCTCGTTTACTCTCAAGTTGGAGGGTTGATATTAATGCATCATTCCAACAGCCTCGGCAGAACTGTTTCAAGAGCTGCTTATTAGCCTCAGCACTGGAAATGGCACTTCTTTTTATTGCTTTTAAGAGAGCTGCTTGTGAGCGCTGCAGATACACGGAGGGCTTTTTTCCTGCATTTTGCAGTGCGTTTAAGGATGCCGGGCCGTCTAGTCCCTTCGCATGCCGTGGGCAACGAGAAGGATGCAGCCGCTGGAAGAAGCCGCCGCCCCTCGCGCCCCGGGCTGGAGAGGGGAGTGAGTGCGGCCGCCAGACTCCGCCCCTTACCTGGACCCTTCCTTCCTGACCACTGCCCTTCCCTTCACGAACCCCGCAGCACGACGAGGACACCAGATCCCCTGTTTTATTTTGGACACTTGATTCCCCTTTTTCCTGGACACTTTGTTTATTTTCTGTTAATAAAAGCCTCTCCGAGACCTCACGCCACACCCACTGTGTCTGTCGTTTGGTCGTCCCGCCACAGTTGTTAGACTAAAGCTTTGTGGAATTTGTCTCTAATAAAATAGACTTTTTCATATCCACAAATAGAAGTCCAGAGATATCTGCATCTCTTTTTTGGGAGACTTTGAAAGCATTCCTCAGGGGAGAAATTATTTCATATATTAGTCACAAGACAAAGTTAAACAAAAAGAGGTGTTCTGAAATAACACAGAAAATAACTAAATTAGATAATATATATGCAGTCACCCCATCTTCAGATATTTATAAGGAATGGCAGTCATTACAGGACGGAGTTTAATATTCTTTCAACAAGTCATGTGGAAAATTTACTACTTAGAACTAAGTCTAGGTATTATGAAGAGGGTGACAAAGCAGGTAGGCTGTTAGCCTTACAGCTATGGCAGGAATCAACCTCCCACCTTATCCCCCAGATCCGAATGCCTTCAGGGATAACAACAGATCCCACATTAATTAACAATCACTTTAATGACTACTATAGTTTGCTTTATGCATCTGAGCAAACTGCTAACTCTGATTTTAATCATCTTTTTTAGCACCTTTGATTTCCCAACAGTTAATAAACTTGAAGCACCCATCAATATAGAGGAGCTCACCCAAGCTGCTACCTCTCTACAGTGTGGGAAATGCCCTGGACCAGATGGGTATTCAAAAGAAATTTATAAAATGTTCATGAACAAATTGGCTCCCATATTAATAGAAATGTATAATGAATCATTTAAGTCACTAAAACTTCCTCAAAACACTTAATCAAGCCTCAATTTCTTTGATCCTAAAAAAGAACAAAGACCCTCTGGAATGCTCCTCGTATCTGCCCATTAGTTTACTTAATGTTGACTTTAAGTTGTTATCAAAACTGCTATCAATGCGACTGGAATCTTCAGATCAGACCGGTTTTATTAAGAGTAGACATTCTTATGTAATGGATGAGAGCAGGGAGAGCAGCGATAACCCCCCCAGGGTAAACAGAACAGAACCAACATAAATGTATTGCAGATATCGTTAAAGTTCAATAATGTTATGTACACATTTTAGAATTAGTCTGATTCAAAGGAGAATCAGAAGGCTGAATCCTGACTGACAGAGAAGGAGTTGGGGATGGAGGGTAATTAGCTATTGAGCAATGTGGAAACTGCTGATAATACTAAGAGACCTTATATATGAATGCTTAGATAGGTGTCGTACTCCCATAGGTTGATGGGGATCAGCTGAGAGTCAGCTTATGCGAGCTTGACTAACGTGACCTGCCAGAACTAACGCTACGCTAGATTTCTGACAGGACCACTATCGTCAAAGATGATTGACAATTAGCATACAGTTTGGATTGGCGGTATGGTTCTGTTCTG